GATTACTTTTTTTTTAAGAATTTCAAAAATGTTATTTTTGATATTTTAATTTTATGTCTATTAATACATATTTTACAAATTTACGCCAACTAAATATAATATTTTAAATTTACCATAACATTTTTTTTTAACACTGAAAAACAATTTTATTATAACCGAAAACCGGTATGGAGAGAATACAAAGTTTCGTATAAGACACCAATAGGTGTTGTACGACATGAGGAACAATATTTCAGGTTGTAGAATTATGGATAATCCCACATCTTAAGATGATAAGCAACATCATCCTCTTGACATTCCAAACTGGTTATCATATACTCCCATATCCTATAGCGAACTCAGCCTCCATGAGAGTATGAAACTGCAATGGTTGTGGGAGTCGAATCTCGTAATTAGAATTTTTCTTAATAACTTTTCTAGGGTTTGAAAAATTTTGCGGAAAACCACTAAAACGATAGATCTCAAGAGAGGTTTTATTAAGCTGTTAAGAAACCTGTTTCAGAATACAAGTGTTTAGCTAATGAATTTCGGATCTCCTCTGTGGAGGATGTTTACATGTATATATACTGTTCTAAGGCGGCTAAAGCCAAGTCTAAAACAGAAAAGAAAAACTTTCTTTTCCTTCGAGATTTCCATCTATATGCGGTGGACTTTCTGGATACTTCCCTTCTTTCGCGAAGCGTTTTGAGTCGGTTAATCATTAAGTCGGCCAACTCATTAAATCGATCCTCCGATGAATTGCTGGTTTACGTTGGCTCGCCGGTTTAAATGATCACCCGTCGGTTTAATAAACGGATAGACGGTTTTCTTCCCTACTTAGTCATTTTCAAGACTGTTGATTTCCTTGGGAGGGATCTGACCCCAACAATGGCCATTCACATGCAACATACGACAAAATCATCGTCTTAGGCTTGTAATTGAATGAACAAGACTCATCAAGTTCTTCACTTTTCTTACGGTAAAGGCAATATCAAAAATACGACTCGTGAACATCCTCAATAAAGGCATTGAACAGAGCATATTTCAATCATATCATACGAGTAGAGAGAAAGAAACAAAACCACCTAGAACCAATTAACACCACACGCATACAACCCTGGCAAATGATCGAAAATGGTGAGGAACCTTAACG